GTCTGCTAAGACTTGGCTTGATGAAGCATTACTTATTTAATCTCATCTGTGCATTGATGTGTGTTTGTGTAGTGGCTATATGGCTTTATGCATGGATTAAACCTATGGAACAGCTGTGTGAGCTGTCCCAAATAGACTGTAGATGTTAAACCATCACCTCCCTGACCTGGGATTAAGCCTTGCTGACCCCGGGTATCCTCACACTGACAGTGGTCATGATGGTGTTCGCTCTAAACAGATTTACAGCTCCAGGATGCTGGAGATGTCATATAAACGAAATGGTATATTCCACAGGATGCTGAGGTGCCTGGGGTCTCTGAGAATTTATGCAGATTGTGTTTTTGGGGATTTATTGGCAATAAATCCAAACCTTGCTAGAAGTTATGACGCTCTCTCACAGAAAATAGGACTTGTAATGAAAAAAAGTTATGTTATTAGGAACAGAACTATATTGACTTTCCACCTTCACTTCTGAGAATATTTGATATGATGATCAAAAAGTAATTCCAGCCTTCAAATCAGGACAATGGCGTTGTCACCTCGCTATCTTAAAGGCTTTTGTAAAAAATAACTTTATTTCTGCGGAACAAAGACCGGGACTGACATGACTTTTACTTTCCTTTTCTTCTCAGGCACAATGCTGCTTTATCAAATGTGACTCCTTGAAAAGAACATAGAACTGCTTTCAACTATTCAAGACTAAGTTTCTTTTCAAAAAGTACTTCTTCGATCTGTTAGAATGAAGCATTACATGAATGAAACATTTACTGGTCGAAGTTTTATGACAGAAATGTGATTCCTGATTGTTCGAACTGGCTTTGAAAAGGTTTTATTTGGGTCTGTTGATGTAGATTTGGTATCACATAGATGTATTATATTGTGCTGGAGCCAGAAAGAAGGAGTTAAAGGACTTATTTCCTTGCCTCATGTCTTCTTTTCCTCAGGGTTTCTTGAAGGATTGCCCCAGTGGAACCTTGAATGTGGAGGAGTTCAAGAAAATCTACGCCAATTTCTTCCCCTACGGTGACGCCTCCAAGTTCGCTGAGCACGTCTTCCGAACTTTTGACACCAACGGTGACGGGACGATAGACTTCCGGGAGTTCATCATCGCCCTGAGCGTGACGTCACGGGGCAAGCTGGAGCAGAAGCTGAAATGGGCTTTCAGCATGTATGATCTGGACGGAAATGGTTACATCAGCCGCGATGAGATGCTGGAGATTGTACAGGTGAGCAAGGGACACTGGGTAATGAAGTTTGGTTGGGGGAAAAGGATGAGTTGAGGTCAGGTGCTAAGGGCAAAATAGTGCCATAAAGTACAATATACCATGTGTCTCACACTGAAACAACAGTAGGAACTTTTTGGAAACAGCCTCAGCAAGATATTTTTAAAGGGCCAGTTTAAGTAAGTAGAAACTTAGTATTGCGCTTCCAAAAAGTCAGGCGACTAACAAGAGGTGGTCCAAATCTGCCCATTCAGTGTCTGGCATTGGGTCAAACATCAACAACACTGGATCCTACATTTCACATAATGCAAACCAATAGCATATTTTTACTGAATGCACACATCTTTCAAGATGTCCACACAATTTTTCAAGCAGACTGTCGTAGACAAAGAGTCTATAGACATGCTAGCAGCTCTGTGAGGCTGTGCTGTGCATTGAGCTAAATGCTAACATGCTGATGTTCACCATGTTAACTGTCTTAGTTTAACATTTTGGCTTGCTAACATTTGCTGATTAACTCTAATCAAAAGTACACCTGGGCTGAATGTCATTAGCTAAGTATTGGACAAATTAAGTAAATTGACCTGATGATGATGAAACGTTAGGGGATCGCTAAAGTCATTAGAGTTCATTCTGGCGGGGACATGAACATCTGTGCCAAATTGTATGAAAATCCATCCAGCAGTTGTCAAGACACTCGAAACCAAAAAGGTCAACCTCATGCAAACACTACAGGAAAAATTTG